TAAATTGTCAATCTTCCGGAGCAAACCATTGATGACCTCACGATAACGTGGATGAACTTCTGGATCTATCCACTCCATATACTTACAAAAATTATGCCTCTGCATAACAAGATCAAAATTAAAAAAAAATTCAGAGTGTCTCAACCCATGGAAGTAATCTCTCAAATAATTGAAAATTTCAAAACACCTACCCCATAATTTGAACAGCCCAGAAATCTCCTTCCAGGATTTGATTCAGTCCAAGCTATCTTCAGAACGGCCTTTTCTCCGCATCTACACCTCGCGAATTGCATGCCATGGCTGTTGTTGCTTGAGATGCTGGACATTTTCCTAAATTAGGGTTCTGGCAATTATCGGGTAAAGGGGTGGCGATTTGGGAGTGCAGAGCCGGTTTATATGCTACGAAATAGGTGAGGAGGAAAGAGAGTGAGGTAGGGGAAGTGATTCAGCATCCATATCAGCACCCACGTCGGATGGTAACCGGCATTTGACCTAGAAACGGGCTAATGGCTCATTAGTGAAAGGATTGTGTAAGTTGGGGGATTTTTGTGAAAGGATTTGAAGTTCAGGTACCACTTCGAAATTATAGCTAAAGTTCAGGTACCATTGGTGAAATTTACCCTACCAAGAAAAAGACCCAAGTGTACGTGGCGGGATGAAATAATACATCCAAATTAAAATTAAAAACTTACAAACAAGACAAACTTAACCCGTGCGACGCAGGGAAGTGTGATACACAGGTGCAAAAGGAATCACTAAAGGAGGAGTAGCCACAGGCCCCTGCAGAGGCACTAAAACTGCCCATAGTTTTAAACAAACAGAAGGAAAGTATGTAATCATTCAAAACATAGGCATGCATAAAATCACTACAATAGTGAAGAAATTAAAGACGAACCATTTTTTGAAGCTTTTTGGGGATAAGGATGAGATGCTTTACGCTTGAGCCGAGGTGGGGGCACATGTGCTATTGTACCATTTTTTTGGACCTTCAAAAAATACTTTTGGGCATGACTCCGAATCTGCAGGTTAATTTCTTAAAAAATTAGCAAAGCACACATGCGCAAGCATGTATGTGTATTAGTGTATTATACACACACAAACTGCAAAAATAGTCAATATCCATTTTATCATTTGATAGATGCTTTGTGGAAAAGGAAAGCCAGACATGTAATCCGTAATACATTTCGAAAGCAATCGAAATTTGCACAAAATTCATTGAAGCAAGAACACAAGAACAGAAGAAAAAGAAGTAATCGCTAACTGCCTATTAAAGATGAAATGGTACCTGAATCACTATCTTTGAACCCACAAAATCTTCAATTTTCTTCCAGTCACGATCAAACCTGAAACTCCCCGATAGAATTTAAGAAAAAGAAGAAGTTTAACACTCCGTATAATAAAGCATCAGAATACGGTTCCTATACCAAAAAGAGAATCCCTCTTTATACTCCGGCAAATTATCAAGAAACCACATCAACATTGAACATTTACACTATGTTTGGTTCAAGGAATTTGGAAGGAAAAGAAAAGAAAATGATTTTCTTTCATTTTCCTCACCAAAATGGGAGGAATTTGATTTTCCCTCCTCTTAGTATATGTTGTCTTCTCATTTCCTTTTTCTTCCACTTTTCTTTTTTTCTCTCTATCCAAACAAGAAAAACTGTTTGCTATCTCATTTCCTTTTCCATTTCAAATTACTTGAACCAAACATAGTGTTAGAGAAACGTAACACAAACATCCTCCAAATCCAACCTTCTTAACCCAAATTCACATCTAAACTCAATAATTGCAAATCGATAAACAAAAAAATAACAACAAAAAAACAGGCAAACTTATACACTATACAGGTAAAAAATATGAAGAGTTAAAATCATCTTAATTAACACCATCATTTATAAATAGAAAGATTATACAGAAACATCTATAGCCCATAAAAACAACTTTGAATCTCTTTTGATTCCTATTTTGAGCTTTGGCATTCTTACTCTAGGCCATATTATGTTCTTGGGCCATACAAATGAACAAACAAATCTTAAAAATAAAGTATGTGTAGTAATTGTACCCTTTACCTCATTGCCATTTGTATATCTTGTCTAATCTTCCCCATCCTCACTTGGATTACCAAACTCTTCTCTGCATTCCCCTCATTGACTTCAAATAAAAATCTAAAAATACTTGGATACCACATAACAACACAACAAACAAAAGCATTCCTTAATAAAAGAATCCAACAAACTTTTAAATTTTTAATCATAATTAAAAGCCAAACTCAGATCCTTATTTAAAAAATCAGAAATTTAACCAAATTTTAACCCAATTAAAACCTAATATTAATCCGTCTAGACTGTAACATATACACAAAATACTACTAAAATAGATCATAGGCATAAATTTGGACAAAAAGTAGGAAGTCATTGAATAACAACTTGAATTTAGAGTTTATACTGGCAAAAAAATATTAGAGGCTTGAAGTTATTGGATTTGATGCTGAAATTTCAATCATATTACCTTCTTTGCGGCAAAGCTCGTAGCGGCAATCGCTGCCAGAAACTAGAAGGTTGCCACTGCTCGCCTAGTTGCAGGCTCACTCTCGATTCGCACCCTTCCAAAACTGGATCGGGGGCTAAGGTTAGAGACCATAGCCCCGTCGTTGTCTCACCTTCGCCGGCCCTCGCTCCCCTCCGTAACTGTTCGGTTTAGAGAAGAAAATAAGAAGAATTTCGATTGTGTAAATCTAGTGAATTGTGAATGATTTTTCCTCCTGTTGTGCAATTACTCGGTGTATGGATAAATGGGCCTAAAAAATACGTAAACCTTTGAGTCCAATCATTTATACATTTAGATATAGTAGCAATTTTACACAATTGCCACAATATGTCTAATATTTTGTGGCAAAATCCTATTTGCTACAAAAATTTCTTCAATCTTTACATATTGTGGCAAATACTAATTTTGCTACTAAAACTTTGCTACAAAAAGTCATATTTCTTATAGTGACCGCATATTCCAAGCCACACCAACACTTGCAATGATGAAAACTTTGTTGGTAATGTGGACACTAATGCATTGTTTAGTGATATTTTAGGGATATGCAATCAAGGGAATTATAAAAAGAGACAGAGACACGATACCGACTCATGTGATCATCCTGATATGGATCCCTTGTTTGGGATAGATGGTGACCAGTTTATCGTAAATGATGACTTTATTGATGAACTTAACTCCTACGAAGCTATGAATGAAGATGAGAACTTAGAAGAAGTTGGGTACAAAAATCTAGTTGAGCAAGCCCATCAAGAGTTATATCCGGGATCAAGTTATTCAAGGTTATCTTTCATGTTACATTTGTTCCATCTGAAATGCATGCATGGTTGGTCCATTAAATCATTCAACAAGTTGCTTGAACTTTTAGGGGTTGTCTTCCCAAATATTACACCATTTCCAACATCATGGACCCAATGTAAGAAGTTAATGAGAGATTTAGGCCTTCATTATGAAAAGATCCATGCTTGTCTTAATGATTGTATTCTTTACTGGAATGGAAGGGAAAATCAAAATCAGTGTGACAAATGTGGTGCTTCACGGTGGAAAGATGAAAACAAAAAAGTACCACATAAGGTATTGCGTTACTTTCCTCTTATACCAAGGTTACTTAGAATGTACAAGTCTTCAAAGATAGCCGAAGATATGCTTTGGCACGAAAAAGATAGGGTCAAAGATGGAAAGCTAAGGCATCCAGCAGATGCAGAAGCATGGAAGGATTTTGATAGATTGAATCCAGATTTTGCTTCTGATGCACGCAATGTTAGGTTTGGACTTGCTACTGATGGGTTTAATCCATTCCGAATCATGAGTACAAATCATAGTACTTGGCCAGTGTTGCTTATTCCATATAACTTACCTCCTTGGTTATGCATGAAACAACACTCATTTATTTTATCTATGATTATACCTGGTGAAAAGGCTCCGGGAATGGATATTGATGTTTATCTTCAACCCTTAATCAAAGAATTATTAGAATTATGGAACGGGGTTGATGCGTTTGATGCACACACAAAGACAAAATTTAAGTTGCGTGCAGCTCTCCATTCTACAATCAATGATTTTCCTACTTATGCAAATTTATCCGGTTGGAGTACTAAGGGTCGTTTTGCCTGCCCATCTTGTGCTAAAGATACACATTTGGTATGGTTAGAAAATGGGCATAAATTTTGCTACATGGGTCATAGAAGGTGGCTTCCTAAGAATCATGCATTCCGTTTTGATGATGTTGGATTTGATGGGAATGTCGACTTTGGAGATCCTCCTAAATGCTGTTGTGGTAGCGATGTGCTAGAGCAATTACGGGGTACAACATTTACATATGGGAAGGGTGATTTTCAAAATGTGGAGGTCAATGAAAAAGATGAACAACAGATATGGAAGAAGCGCAGTATTTTCTTTGATTTGCCTTATTGGGAATATAATCTTCTTCGCCATAGTCTGGATGTTATGCATATTGAGAAGAACATATGTGATAACTTCTTGGGTACATTTTTGAATATAGAAGGGAAATCAAAAGATAACTTGAAGGCACGTAAAGATCTACAGGTTTTAAATATTAAACCTTCTCTTCATCCTATTTTGTTACCAAATGGCAAGTATGAAATCCCTGATGCCCCTTATACATTGTCATCTGAAGAGAAAACACGTTTTCTAAATATGTTGAAGCGTGTAAGATTTCCAGATGGGTATGCAAGTAATATATCTCGATGTGTGAATTTAAAGGAGCGCAAATTATTCAATTTGAAAAGTCATGATTGTCATATTTTGATGCATGACCTGCTCCATATTGCCTTAAGGGCTGCTAAAGATACTAATGTTGTTGATGTTTTGAGTGAATTATCAACATTTTTTAAGGAATTATGCTCGAAGGAATTGTCTATTGAGAAATTAGACGAAATGAAAGCTAATATCATCACAACATTGTGCAAAATGGAAAAATATTTCCTCCGCATTTTTTTACTATCATGGTTCACCTGATTATTCACTTGCCTGATGAAGCAAAGCTTGGAGGTCCTGTTTTTTACAGATGGATGTATCCAATAGAAAGGTAAAAATAAATACTCTTCTTTTATTTTTAAGAAAGTATCAATTACTGGTGTAATATTTATTTATGGTCATCATAGGTTTCTTGCATTCCTTAAAGGCCTAGTACGTAATAAGGCACAACCGGAGGGTTCTATCGAAGAAGGATACATTGCTCATGAATGTATAACCTTTTGCTCAAGGTATTTTGGAGGGGTGGAAACTGTATTTAATCGACAATGACGTAATGATAGTAGTCTCATTGCTAATGATACTTATCTTTTTAATACCGCGGGTGAGCCCAAAGGACTGGTGGAAATGGTTGAAATTCCTGAACTGAATTTTCAACAAGCTCATCGATATGTACTCCTACATCTTGATGGTATTGATGAGTACCATAGGTTAGTGTGCTAATGATTTCTTAATCCAGATAATGATCGACAACATAAATTTTTAACTCTTTTTACGTATTGTAGTTTGTTTTTGAATGAGCGATTGGAATCTTATCCTCGAGCGCCAACAGATGCAATTAAGCAAAAATGGTTGGTTGAGGATTTTCCGACCTGGATCAAAGAAAGGGTAATTAATTATGAACTTATGCCTTCAAATCACTGTATAACTTAAAGTAGACTTTTCCATATAACTAGTGGTATTCATATATACCTTAGGTCTCAAGCATGGATATTGAAGATTCAGAATCAAGTGTGTTTAGGGCAGTGGCTTCAGGTGCACATCGAGTAGTGAAGAGAATGAACGGATTTGTGATCAATGGGTATCGATTTCACACTCAAAAAAGAGACCAGAAGAACAAAACTCAAAATTTTGGCGTTGCAGTTGAAGCGGGGGAGAAAACATACTTTGGAAAAATCAATGATATTATTGAGTTAGATTATTATTCAGAGTATTAAGTTGTACTTTTTCGTTGTGATTGGGTGAATGTGCACTCAAAAGGGATTAAGAAGGACAAAAGAGGTTTCACACTCTTGAATTTCACACATAAGATACATGTTGGAGGTGCTTTAAAGGATGATCCTTATATCTTATCTTCACAAGCCCAACAAGTGTTTTATGTTGAAGACGAGAGAGATAAAGGGTGGGAGCATGTTGTTCATGCAAAGCCAAGAGACACATACGATCATTGAAAGATGTTGATTAGCATTACCTTAAGCATATACTTTCTTACATTCAGAACATGATTTTTTCGAATTTGCATATTGCTCTATTATTCATTTAATTGTCAATCTGTGCTTAGTGATCATATCGTCATTTATTTTTTTTAATTATATGCCCTTTGGATTTAGTATTATGCTTTAAGAATGTATACTACATGATATGCTTTGAAGCTAACGATTTATGCCGCACAGTTCTAATTTCAGGAAGTAATGTTTCGTTCAAAGCGTACATTTGAAGAGTATCAGCACTTGCTTGAAAATGAAGGCAGTGCTCCAGATGATTCTACTATAAATGACATAGATGACACTTTTATTGAAGAGGACAATGATGATGATCATGATTATGGAGATGATGATGACTCTAATGTCGTGTTTGATTTGGATCCAGCTCTTATCCCAGTACCTGAAGGATTTAATGACGATGAAGAAGTGTTGACCATAGGTATTAATATGATTTAATTTTTATCACTTCAATGCAATTGAACCTTCCATTTTCAACAAATTGGTATATGTGCTACTTGTCTAATGTCCTCTTACAGATGCTCAAGGAAACGTGAGTAAGCTTAGGGGCCGGATTAGTGTAAAAGTGGTGGTTGGCTTGGATGCTGGAACTAGAATCCTAGTACCAATGAACAAGCTTTTACAGCCTGTTAAAAAAGCAGGAGGTCTGTTCAACCGATTTCTAGCTGACATTGCAAAGCGTCCTCGATTTTGTCCTCTAAATTACAGTGATTGGCGTGTTGTGCCTACACTATATAAAAAGCGCATATTGGAGTTCATAAAGGTGAGCAAAATTTTAATTTTTGTTGGTTTTAGGAGTCCATTATATCTTAAACGACTTGCTTTATATTGTTCGAAATGAATGTAACATTTCAAGTATATAATAACATGTAGAAAAAATTTGTGTTGCCATCCACCGACTCAGTTCAAGACAAAATTTTAAGCACTGTTGGGGAGAGGTTAAGAGGTTACAAGCGTACTTTACGAAAAAAATATATTCAAAAAGGCACAACAAAGGAGGACTTGTATAATATACCCCTTGCCGAGTCAGGAGCCAATGAGGGTCTCGTACGTCCTAGAGAAGTGGATGATGCTATGTGGGCTGGATTTGTGACATTGTCGTTTTCACCAGATGTTGAGGTTAGCCTAACAATGAACTCTACAGCGTATCAATGCTTATATGATTTTTGTTATGGTGATTAATGATACATTGATATGTACGTAAATTAGAATAGTGTTAATATTATTATATTTATGTGTAGAAAAAGTCTCAACATGGGAAGAATGCTAGAGGAAAACTAACACATTCTCACACAAATGGATCTGAAAGTTTTGCGATTGCATTTGATAAGTTTGTAAGTTTGTAAATTATTTTATTTTAATTTTATTCATTATTTTTCAAATTTAATGTATGTTATCCGTCGAATGTGTTTTTTATGTATTCACTTAGGAAAGGAAGCATAAACGGAAGCCAGGGCCTATTGAGCGGTTTATACAAACACGTGAGAAGAAAGATAAAACCTTTCATGAACCCATCACAACAGAGTTTGTGGTAATTACATATAAATCATGTGGTTGTTACTTGGATATAAGGTTTGAATTCATAACTAATGTATTGTTTTTTGTTGAGAGTTAGAACTCAGCCATGGCTATTATTAAGAAAAAGACTGGAGCTTGTCACTTTTCAGAGGAAACAAGAGAGGCAGAAAAATTTGCTTATAAAAAATTAATGGGTCCTCAACCAGAAAAGGGAAAAGTAACAGGTCTAGGTCGTGGAGTTAATGCAAGAGACCTGCGTAAGATTCGTTGTGAGGCTGAGCCAACTGCAATGGCAAAAATCCTTAGAAAATTGCAAACAATGGAAGATGAAAATCAAAAGATGAAAGATCAAATAGCCTCTCTGACTTCCAAATTTGGTGATCACAGTCCACGCCACACTGATTCCATAAATTGTGGTGATTTTCATGAAGATTCAACGCAAGATTCACCATTTAAAGGGTGCACGACTCCTGAAGTACCGAGACATGATGCATCAATAAGGAGTGAGTATCGTGAAGGTTCAAGGCATAACACACCGAATCACCTTGATTTATCCAATGTTTCACAATGTACCAGAAGTGGTTCTTATGAAGGCTTAAAGCATGATGATATACACGCCAATCATTGTTCAAAGTACAATTCACCATGTACCAGAGGTGGTTCCCTTAATATCTTTAGTACCTCAGGCATAGACAATTTGTTATGTATTATAAGTACATGTTTGTTTTTCTAATTGATTTTTATGGTTTCCTACTTTGTGTCTTATGGCTGCAAATCAGAAAGAGATACAGATTCGATCAAAATAAGAAATCATCGAGAGCAAGGTGGATTCCAAAAGCAAGTAGCAACTATACCGGTAAGGGTTTTTGTGTAATGTATTTTAATAACTCGAAGAATATTAAATATAGTAGTGATCATGACTTATACTTTTATTTATCATGTGCACTTGTTGAAGTCATCAACTACTACAAAAGTTGTTGGTAACGGTGAACAACACAAGGTTTCTCAAGCAGCACCCACAACTAGTGCTAATGTTGCGGCTATTTTGCAACCACAAAAATGTACTCCTGTTAGGCATAGTGTTGCTGATAACTCGGGTTTGGTTTAGTACTTTTTATTCAATTTTAGGCATTTTTAATATTTTTAGTGTTTAATTCTTAGTTATTTAGCTTAGGTTTATTCTAACTTTCATTTTTTACAATCTTTTAATTTTCTCTCATAAATAGCATGTTTTTAATCATTTTTTTTACATTATTTTATTTTTATTTTATTTTTCCTAACCCAAGTTATCAGATATCTTATTTGTGGAGGAAAGTATCTTATAGCAAAAGACCAAATCGGAGTTCAAGTTTGAAAGGAAGCACTTGAATTTGGGGCAAAGCCCAAACCCATCATCAAAACAAGTTAATTGGCCCATCCATTGCTCTCCTGATTCGCACAAGAAAGACAGAAAAAAGAGAAGAAACGCAACTTCTTCTTCATTAAGGCAAGCTAAGTAAACACTCCAAGTTCGACCGGCGAAGCATTCAACGCATATCTTCTCCAACGTCTCTCCATTCAATTCGCCCACACGCTCCAACGGGAAGAATTCAACGGCAAGTGGTTCTCCTTGGACTATAAATTGAAGACAAATTGCAACCAGAGGAGGGGGGAAATATCACGCAGAGAGCCGCGGCTCTAGGCCGTGGCAACTGAGATTGAAGCCGCGCACCAGAGGAGGAAGCAGACGGCGGCGGACCACTGCTCGCCGGCGGACGACGATGGTGGGCAGCAACCTTTTTCAAGCTCCAATCCTTTAATTTCTTCGTCTTCTTCAACAAAGTGGTAACCCTAGCTTGTTTCTCCA